ATAGCATATTTCAATTGCACCCTTTAAATATTAAGTTTCAGTAAATTATCTCACAAAGTTACCTACTTTTCTAATACGTATATTTAACCTTTCAACTACTTCAATAAAAATGTACAACAATCTAGTGCTTAATAACAATTAAAACTAGAATTAACATTAGACCTAGAACTAGAATCATTCGGGTTTAGCCGTCTTAAGAGACGTACGGCTAATCCCAAATCTTTCTAGTTCTAGGTGTAATGTTAGTTCTTATGATAATGCAAGTGTAAAACTATAACTAACACTATACCTAGAACTAGAATTGCACGTCTCTAAAGATGGATACGTTCATATGGAGTTGGATAACTTTATACAGTATTCTAGTTCTATAGTCTGCGAGTTGCAGCACTACACCATCCATAGATTTTTACCCCCAGAGAGGACCAACATCAATAGAGCTCGTTCTACCAATATTTTGACTAATTTCGTCTCTAAGAGAGGTTCCCCTTCTCGATCAGAATCATTGATCGGCAAACTATAGCGTGGAACCAATTTGTTTCTAAAGTCTCAACGGGCTGATCCCTTACTCGTGATGCCTGCTGATAAGGGTCAGGTGACAGTGGTAATGAATAAATCCCAATACATATCTAAATCCCTCCAACTTTTGGAGGACCCACATACTTACCAGATTTTAAAATCCGATCCAACCTCTGTGATCCAGAGAAAATCAAACTCCATCTGTAAGAGTCTGTTCGATGACTGTTCGATTCTTTGCTAAAGATGACGACTTTGCTTTTTGTTCAGATGTTCCTGGTTTATTGAAAGCAATGGGAGCACAGAAAGAAGTATGATCCAAATGAATGGCGTTTATTTATTTATTCTTCTAAACGTAGCCTAAAACGTGTACTTATGCATAACGGCAATAAACTGGGTTCGATACCGATTGCACATTCAAGTACAGTCAAAGAAGAATATGCTACTGTAGCTTCTGTAATGGATAAAATCAAGTACAACGAAGACAAGTGGCTGATATGTGTAGATCTAAGGATGGTGAATTTTCTTCTTGGACAACAAGGGGACTATACAAAATATAATAAATTTGTGGGACAGCAGAGCTAAGTCTGAGCACTGGGTTAGAAAAGATTAGCCTTCCAAGCAAACTATGGTTCCGGGAAAGCTGAATGTGGTAAATGAACCCCTTGTGTCCAGGGATTGTATAATACTGCCATTTTTACATATCAAACTAGGGCTTATGAAACAATTTGTCAAAGCTCTAAACAAGGATTTAAACACATCGCTAAAAAGTTCCATAACTTGAGCACAGAAAAACTTAAAGCCGGAATTTTTAATGGTCCTCAAATAAAAAGGTTGACAAAAGGATGAAAACTTTAATAGTTACATGATTGATATTGAAAAAAATGCCTGGAATGAATTCGTTTGGACTGTACAAAATTTTCTGGGAAACAAAAAGGAGTAAAGCTATGCGGAGCATATTCCAGCAGCTTGGATGTAATATGAGCATCAAGGTACACTTCCTCCACAGTCATTTGGACCGTTTCACAGTGGTCGTTTACTCGAGACTAGGGGAACATTTCGGTTTTAAACATGATTTCAAGGTCATTTATACATATATTGATAAATTAATAAATATTATATAAAAATAGCGTTAATATAATAAAAAAAAGTATTTAATGAAATGAATACAGATTTTTTTTAATAAAATGTAAATAAATTTATACTTAGCAATATTAAATAGAAAAATTGTACTTCGATTAGAGGCGTACACATCAAGAACGGGACGAGAGGATTACAAGAATAACATATTCCAGCAAATACAACTATCAAATTTTATTTCTTTGGGAGTATGAATTTATTAACGAAATTTATACCCAATTATATTAACAATATCTCAGGTTAAATTTGTTGGTTACATAATATTAATAAATTGAACAGAGGATGGTATTTACTCAGAATAACTGCTAGATGTTATTTCATCCGAATCGGAGGATTCTGAATCTTCGCAATCCTCTTGCATTATTGTAGGATCTAATAATAATGCTATTACTTCTTTTTCTATACTTCGAACTTTGTACGCTTTTGCTATATTATTTGATTTAGAAAATGTTGAAATATATGGATCTGAAGAATACATTAACGTATGAAAAAGATCAGTTATGTTTTGCAGGTGCGAAAATTTTCTCGTGTGATGTTCTCTATATTTTCGAAAATCTTTATTACGAGCCTCCAAAGCTTCTTCAGAAAACATCCCTATTGGTAAAATTGCTGACTGGATTATCTCCGCTCCGTGTAATAAGATTTTATGTAAACTGGAAGGCATGTAAAACCAAGGATATAACTGAATGTACAGATTTGCAGTATCTAAAGCGTATTCTTTAAATGCATCGACATTTATTGCATAACCGCAGGATATTGTTTGTAAAACAATTTTAAGCCTCTTGACTAAATTTTCATCCAATCCAGTGATTTTTGCAGTTAATGCATAATTTTCAAAAAAAAACGACTGGTAGTATTGCCGTCATTAGTTGTTCCGTACCCAGGTTTAGTAATATCAATCAATATACCTAATTTTGCCTTCAAATCGTCTTGAATTTTCTTCTTAGTGTTTTCCATTGTTTTCTTGTCAGCTTCATCACGAATTTGCCACTTTTTGATATCAATGCGATATGCAATGTGAAGTAAGCATTCCAAACTCCTGATCCAGGCATGTAGGGAGGAAATCCCATATTCATACGCGTTTTCGTTTTTTGCAAGTTGCTCTAATTTTGCCAAATTGTTCATCACTTTGGGGGTTGCTCCACATATTTCACAGGATTGGGACTACACCAAATTCAATCAAAATCATTTTAAATACATGATTAACGCTTATTTGTTGTTCATTGCATAATATTATTGTTGGTAATATTAAACTAATTTGGTTTTCTACATCGTTTACAACACGTTTTGTTAATTCGGTTGTTTCTTTTTCAAATAAAATTTGAATCGGCCTGCAAAATCTTGTAGACGAAGGTTTTGGATTCTGCCATACGACTGTTTTATTTTTTGTTGAGTTTACTTGTAAGGGTACTAGGCACACCGAAAACAAAAACGCATCTGATTGTGAAGTTGATACATTTTCAAATTTTTGCTTGTATAAAGAGTGGCCGGAACTTCCATCACATCCCCATTTATAAATAAGCGTTAGTTCATTGCCAATATTTTCAAGATTTTGCAAAATTACTGTATCTATTGACTTTATTAATCTACTGCTTGTGTGATCAGCTAAAAAATTGTAGTGTAACTTTGGCAGACGTTTCGTTAATTGCAATATATTCTTCTTTCGGGTAACATTCTTTCTTGGCTTTTAATAATTTGTCGTAACTAGGGTATATGTTTGCTTGGCGTACCTTTGCTCCAGATTGCATTAATTTGTAGGAATGCTTTGTGAACCCACCATCTATGTACAATGCAAGCGCTTCTTCGGTTGTGTATTTTATTGGTTGGTTCGGTGGTAGGTGAGTGATCTGCAACTTCCTTTACTATTTTAGCACCGTCTCTGCGTCCAGATTTAACTCAGCTTGTTTGTACTGCAAACGATAATTCTTCTTGAGAATGGAGTTCCACTAAGGGTTTCACTTTTCTTCTTTTTGACATTGGCGTTAAATCGGAAAACAATTTGTAAGGACCTCGAGGCTTGCTGGTAGATGGTCCTGGCTGTGACTGTGCATGTAAAATAGTAAATTCTTCAGATCCATCTAACCAATCTGAAAAACGCGACTCGAAAATTGCCAGAGTGCGATTTGATTGCTTCCAGTAACGCGATAATTTGGAGTTGATATTCTTAATTTGCTTATTCCAACTAGCCATATTTTCGATCTCTGAAGGTTCATGTTGCTTCAATTTATCCATGATATAAAGAAAAACCGCAGAATTCTTTTCTTTTAACAATTTTCCGGCCCGCCAAACATCAAATATAGATTTCCTAAGAATGGATATCTTTTCTAAAAAAATCATAAAGTTGTGTTAGGCAAATTATGGCAAATAATTTTCATTGGGCTGACAAACTAAGATGTTTTACAACATAAAAAAAATAATTCGTTCGGGTTCTCGGTGAATCTGATATACTTTATCAACTTTAAAATTGGCTGGGTCGCGGTATTGAAGTCAGTTATAATGACCGATTTAAATAATTATTTTAAAGAAATGAGTCAATCTAATTATTAAACTATAAACTAGATAAGTTGAGTACATACCTATAGGACAATTATCCATGGTTGCAGAACCAGTCACTAAGGTCACCACTTAGGTCACTAATTACCAGTCAACCTAAGGGGCTGGGGATTTTATGATACTACCTGGCCATCAATTGAACATTCTATAAATAGTATTTACAAGAATCATCGTTATTCTTAGAAGTACAATTTGATCGAAATGTTCCCGTAGATTTGAATAAACGACCACTGTGCGTTTCCCTGAAAATCTTGGTGATCTGAGTGAAGAACAAGTTCCATCAAGACATTCGAACTATGGAGGAACGTTACTGGAATGCTCACATGATGGCAGACTATTGTTGGAGCATTAAAAACAGCCCTCGTGAACCAAAATTTTTCTTAATAAAATATAGATTTTGCTTAAAAAACGCGTTTTAATTATTATATCTCAAAAATTGAAGCTGATACGAACAATCTGCCTTTAGATCTGAAATCAGCACTCAAAGAAAGTATAATATTAGTCATGCAACAAAATGCTGTTTCCTTGTGTTGAATGAAACACCCTGTATAATTTGATATTGATGAAATGACTTAAAATAAAGCTATATTTTGATAAATTTTTTTGTTAAGATGTCGCTCGTCATTGTTGTCATCGTTTCTCTCGTCGCTATAGTTTCCTTCCTATACAGAATTCCCCCACTTCAAAATTTCTCCTACTATTCCCCTCTCCAAAGCATTCGACTTAAGCAATGAGCGAACGCCTTAGTTCGGCTTATGCAATTCGCACGCCGCCGATCCCCCCCACCACACCATGTCGCCGAGCATTTTCATAGCACACCGCGATCCCAAGTGCGGGCTCGGATCCGCCGAGATGCCAGCGGCTTCCTAATAGTTAAATCATAGATGGCTTTGATAAAATGAGCCCAATAGTCCGCTCGACTGCGACGCGAACGCCGCTGCTTCGGTTAAATCACCTCACTCCTTTTTAATCAGTTACAAAAAAAAAAAATAAGTTATGATCAAAAAATAATTATTCATTTTTTTTGAATGTTGTTTTGGTGGGTTTCATTTTTGTTTCTTTTTTGTTTCGCGATCGATCTCTTTTGTTATTATTGTGCCTTCGATCACGTGTGTTTTGTTTTAAAGATTTTAGTGGTTTTTTTTATTTTTTTTGAAATGATTATTGCAATGAAACGAAATGAAATGAGTTTGTGACTTATAAATCGTGGATTTTAAGGAAACGTTTTTTTAGGTTTGTATTAATTCTCTTTTTAGTTAAGTTAATTTAGTTAAAAATCTTGAATTGAATTGAATTGGATTGGATTGGATGGGATGTTCACAAATATCTTTTGTAAATATTGGGCCACGGTTGAGATAAAAATAACCTCGACGGTCGTGCCGTATATTTGCACGGCCATTTTGATTTTTAACCCAAAAATTTTTTTATATACACATATAAAAAGAATAACTCCCATAGAAGTTCTTACTCCGCTCGCCTTTTGTACTCTAAGCAACTCTTTGCAAATCTGGTTTCGTTCCTGCATAGAGTACATTAACCTTCGCCTCTCTACACGCTCCCCGTACTTAAGTTTAAAACTTTGAAACGATTCAAACCAAAATTTTTCCTTTTTCAAAATAGATTTGTCCGGTGGCCAAAGACGGTTTTAGCAATTAAATTTTAAATCTCGCGTCTCTAATCAGTAATTAATGTGCCGGATCCATCCGCCACGGACATAAAACGATGAATTTCATTGGATGGACGCTCCGAGGAGAGCTTTTGTTGTTGTTGTACATGTTGGTTATTCTCGACATTGGTGTCGAGAAATATTTGGCCTCTTGAATGAAAGTGTTTTGGACCGAATCCAAGAATATTTAAAAATAAGGACGATTCTTCTTCAATCTTTTTATTAAATTAAACACCTTGAAACGATTCGGCCACAATGAATGGCGAAGGTCATTTTTTTATTAAACACTTCGTCTCGTTACATTGTCAAACCAATATCTCGTTAGGTTCCCCTCGCGCAATTTGACCAGAAAAGAATAAAGCTAAACCAGCGTCGTTCAACGTGTTATCGGGCTTAATGGCCAAACCGCAACCATTAACAGGTAGTAGAAGACGCCGCGGCGCAAAAGAATCTCTTTTTTATTTTATTTTATTCCATTTTATTTCATTTTATTTCCAAATCGAAAAACTTTCTTAGTGTGCATTTCTAGTATATAGAGTTGTGGAGGCTTCTTTCTCTCTTTATTCTACTGAGACGCCTCCGCAGCCGACTGCATTCTTCGAGATGAACGAGTTTGTAAAGTTAAAAATGTGCATTCTAACCACCGGCGGCGGTCGTATAAGATAGTTAAGAAAAAAAATTTAAATATAAACGTACCATTATAATTAATGCAAAAATAACATGTCGAGATCTAATCACTTTCTCTGAAACTCAATCGAATCAAAACGTTAATCGAAATTATTTCAAAACGCAACTTTCTCCATATCGAATTGTTCGAACGATATTATCTCAAAATTTAAAATCGAATTGGCATGAATAATTTGTTATGTGCTGTATCAAGAAATTAAGAATCACTAAATTTGTCAAATTGATTTTCAAAAATCGTATAAAATCGATTTATTGATTAATTTTTTTTAAATTGTTAATAATTAATAGAAGAAAGTGTCTTCTTTTTAGTAAAACAAACCGTTTTTAAAAACACTACTTACTTCTTGAGATACAATCAATCAAAATTTTTCAATTTATTTCTATTAACTTTAAAAAAATCGTATAAAATCGATTTATTGATTAATTTTTTTTAAATTGTTAATAATTAATTGAGAAAAGTGTCTTCTTTTTAGTAAAATAAACCGTTTTTAAAAACACCTTTTAGTTCTTGAGATACAATCATTCGAATTTCTGTAGCAATTTTTCAATTTATTTCTATTAACTTTAAAAAATCGTATAAAATCGATTTATTGATTAATTTTTTTAAAATTGTTAATAATTAATAGAAGAAAGTGTCTTCTTTTTAGTAAAATAAACCGTTTTTAAAAACACCTCTTACTTCTTGAGGTACAATCAATCAAAATTTTTCAATTTATTTCTATTAACTTTAAAAAATCGTGTAAAATCGATTTATTGACTAATTTTTTTTAAATTGTTAATAATTAATAGAGAAAAGTGTCTTCTTTTTAGTGAAACAAACCGTTTTTAAAAACACCTTTTACTTCTTGAATTACAATCATTCGAATTTCTGTATCAACTTTTGAATTTATTTCTATTAACTTTAAAAAATCGTATAAAATCGATTTATTGATTAATTTTTTTTAAATTGTTAATAATTAATAGAAGAAAGTGTCTTCTTTTTAGTGAAACAAACCGTTTTTAAAAACACCTTTTAGTTCTTGAGATACCATCATTCGAAATTTTTCAATTTATTTCTATTAACTTTAAAAAATCGTATAAAATCGATTTATTGATTAACTTTTTTTATATTATTAATAATTAATAGAAGAAAGTGTCTTCTTTTTAGTGAAACAAACCGTTTTTAAAAACACCTTTTAGTTCTTGAGATACAATCATTCGAATTTCTGTATCAATTTTTCAATTTATTTCTATTAACTTTAAAAAATCGTATAAAATCGATTTATTGATTAATTTTTTTTTAAATTGTTAATAATTAATAGAAGAAAGTGTCTTCTTTTTAGTAAAACAAACCGTTTTTAAAAACACCTTTTAGTTCTTGAGTTACAATCATTCGAATTTCTGTATCATTTTTTGAATTTATTTCTATTAACTTTAAAAAAATCGTATAAAATCGATTTATTGATTAATTTTGTTTAAATTGTTAATAATTAATAGAGAAATGTGTCTTCTTTTTAGTAAAACAAACCGTTTTTAAAAACACCTTTTAGTTCTTGAGATACAATCATTCAAAATTTTTCAATTTATTTCTATTAACTTTAAAAAATCGTATAAAATCGATTTATTGATTATTTTTTTTTAAATTGTTAATAATTAATAGAAGGAAGTGTCTTCTTTTTAGTAAAACAAACCGTTTTTAAAAACACCTTTTAGTTCTTGAGATACAATCATTCAAAATTTTTCAATTTATTTCTATTAACTTTAAAAAATCGTATAAAATCGATTTATTAATTAACTTTTTTTAAATTGTTAATAATTAATACAGAAAACTGTCTTCTTTTTAGTGAAATAAACCGTTTTTAAAAACACCTTTTAGATCTTGAGATACAATCATTCGAATTTCTATACCAATTTTTGAATTTATTTCTATTAACTTTAAAAAATCGTATAAAATCGATTTAATGATTAATTTTTTTTAAATTGTTAATAATTAATAGAGAAAAGTGTCTTCTTTTCAGTAAAACAAACCGTTTTTAAAAACACCTTTTAGATCTTGAGATACAATCATTCGAACTTCTATATCAATTTTTGAATTTATTTCTATTAACTTTAAAAAATCGTATAAAATCGATTTATTGATTAATTTTTTTTTAATTGTTAATAATTAATAGAAGAAAGTGTCTTCTTTTTAGTAAAACAAACCGTTTTTAAAAACACCTTTTAGTTCTTGAGATACAATCATTCGAATTTCTGTAGCAATTTTTCAATTTATTTCTATTAACTTTAAAAATTGGTATAAAATCCATATCTTGCTTAATTTTTTTGAAACTCTCATCATTAATAAAGAGAAGTGTCTTCTTTTTAGTAAAACAAACCGTTTTCAAAAATACCTTTTAATTCTTGAGATAGAAGATTTCGAATTTCTGTATCAATTTTTCAATTTATTTGTATTAACTTTAAAAATTCGTATAAAATCGATTTCTTGCTTAATTTTTTTGAAACTCTCATTGTTAATAAAAAAAAGTGTCTTCTTTTTAGTGAAATAAACCGTTTTTAAAAACACCTTTTATTTCTTAAGATACAATCATTCGAATTTCTGCATCAATTTTTAAATTTAATTCTTTTTCTATTAACTTTAAAGATTCGTGTAAAATCAATTACTTAGTTGACTTTTTTGAAATTTTTATCATTAATACAACAAAGTGTGTTTTTTTTAATGGAACAAACCGTTTTAAAAAATCCCTTCTACTTTTTAAGATAAACAATAATGAATTTGCTCGAATTTATTTGTTATTCTGTTTTAGTTAGTTACCTAATTTTATCCTAAACAAAAATTGTTGTAATCAAAACACGATAAAAAACAAAGTCATTTTTTGTTTTCGACTTATCTCAACACGTTGATTAATATTGGCATTAGCTTTATTCAACATACAGATGCTGGGGTCAGATGGTACAAAAAATTTTCGAGATGGAGAAAGTTATATAAAATTAAACTTATTATATATATATATATATAAATTCTGACATCTTCTTCACCTTCGTTGTTCATCCAAAAGTCCTCTTCTTTTTCCCTCTCTCCAACTTCCTCTCCTTCTCACTCCTTTGGGTAACCATTGCCATATTTGTTTTGGTAGCTTCCCCTCTGACATTCCTTGAGCGTTATGAACTTCCTGGTCATGTATTTCACATCTTACTGGTGTTGTGCGATTACCATTTGATCCTCGGTACAACATAGTGCGTTCATCCAATTTCGTTATTTTAATAGTTGTTAATGGTAACACTCGGGTAACGGACCATATGACAAATATACTAGTTGAACAAAAGTTATAGCAAATTTTATTCTTAACAATATTGCTCTCTTTCACTTTTGCTCTCAGATGCGTTAATATCGAGATAAATACACCAGTATGAATATTGGATGAATTTGTTGCTCTTTCAATGTGTTAATGGTATCACTTAAGAAACGAAGCATATTACAAAAGAATTTTTGGAACAATAATTGTAGCAAATTTTATTCCTAACAATATTGCTCTTTTACACTTTTGCTCTCAGATCCATAAATATCGAGAAAAATACGAAAATATGAAAATTTGATGAATTTCGTTATTTTACTAGCCCTTAATGGTACCACTAGGGAAATGGAGCGTGTAATAAAAAAACTTTTAAAACAAAACTTGTAGCAAATTGTATTGTTAACAATATTGTCCTCTTAAACTTTTGCTCTCAGATGCGTCAATATCGAGAAAAATACGAAAATATATGAAAATTGGATGAATTTGCTTTTTCAAGTAGTTAATGGTAGTACTCAGGAAACGTAAGATATTACAAAAAAACTTTTGGAACAATAGTTGTAGCAAATTTTATTCCTAACAATATTGCTCTTTTAAACTTTTGCTCTCAG